AGAAAGAATGTTGTTATGGCTGCCTATCATCTAACTCCGTACAATCCTCCCTCCCATTTTCCCACCATAGAAAATGCAGAATAGAAAGTGTGGCAAGTCAAAGAGCCAAAACGGGGCATGCTGTACCCCTCCTCGCCCTCTCCCCGCATGCAGCCCGCCCCCCTGCGCATGCGCAACAGAGACCCTAAAATCAGCTGGTAGATGGGAGGCGTGCGCACCTGCGCCGTGACTGAGCTGGGCCAACAGCTCGTGTGCCCGCAGAGAGTGTCATACAAGGGAGTTGGGTGTGTGGGAATGAGAATGGGAGGAAAAAGACTGTGGGGGTCCTTGGTGTTCTCTGAGCTTGGTTGTTTTCTTGCAGACGTTTCATGACCTAACTAGGTAACATCATCAGTGCTAGAAGGGAGTGAAGTTTATGGAGGATGAGGGAGGGAGGGAGGGAGAGAAAGGAGGAAGAGGAGAATAGAAGGGAGGAGGAGGAGGAGGAAGACTGTGGGATCCTTGATGCTCTCTGAGCTTGGATGGTTTTCTTGCAGACGTTTCATGACCTAACTAGGTAACATCATCAGTGCTAGAAGGGAGTGAAGTTTATGGAGGATGAGGAAGGGAGGGAGGGAGAGAAAGGAGGAAGAGGAGAATAGAAGGGAGGAGGAGGAAGACTGTGGGATCCTTGATGCTCTCTGAGCTTGGATGGTTTTCTTGCAGACGTTTCATGACCTAACTAGGTAACATCATCAGTGCTAGAAGGGAGTGAAGTTTATGGAGGATGAGGGAGGGAGGGAGGGAGGGAGGGAGAGAAAGGAGGAAGAGGAGAATAGAAGTGGGGGGGGAGGAGGAAGACTGTGGGATCCTTGATGCTCTCTGAGCTTGGTTGGTTTCTGGCAGATGTTTCATGACCCAACTAGGTAACATCATCAGTGCTAGAAGGGAGTGGGATTTTCTGAGAGGAGGAAGTGGAGAAGGAAGAGGAGGAGGAGGAAGAGGAGGAGGTTTCTGGTGCTTTCTGAGCTTGGTGCTGGGGGGGGTGGGGGTGTTTGCTTGACATGGTGATATTATGAAACATCTGCAAGAAAACAAGCAAGCTCAGGGAGCACCAAGGACCCCCCTCAGATTTCCAAATGCCCGGAATTAAAAGTGAGAATCAAGATGTTCATGACAAGATAAGTCTCCCATCGTTCCATCTTCATGTTCTCTTACACGGAAGGATTATCTTACTCGACTCACAGTTTCAAAATATGACGTATGATTTGCTCCGGAATAAGACGTTTCTGGCAGAGATTTGCAGCGTCCCACAAAACGGCCTCGCAGATGGCACCATCTTGGAAACGCCTCAACTCCGACCGCTCGCCCCAAAATTGCCGAAACTCCATGGCCTAAAGGAAGAGAGATGAGATATTTTTTTCCCCCCAACCCTTTTCGATGTATTATCCTTCAACAACTCTAAGGCACTTCGAGGGTTTTAACAATCAAGAGACTCTACGGGCACTGTAGCAGAATAAGAGAGTGGGAAGGGACCTTGGAGGTCTTCTAGTCCAACCCCTGCTCAAGCAGGAGACCCTGTATCATTTGAGACAAATGGCTCTCCAGTCTCTTCTTAAAAACCTCCAGTGATGGAGCACCCACAACTTCTGGTGGCAAGCGGTTCCACGGGTTAACTGTCCTCGCTGTTAGGAAATTTCTCCTTAATTCCAGTTAGCTCCTCTCCTGGATTAGTTTCCATCCATTGTTTCATGTCCTGCCTTCAGGTGCTTTGGAGAACAGGCTGACACCCCCCCCTTCTTTGTGGCAACCCCTCAAATATTGGAATACCGTTATCCTGTCACCCCTGGTTCTTCTTTTCATTAAGGTAGACACACCAAGTGACTGTCACGCCTAAAGCAAAACTAGAACTCACCTTCTCCTGCTGATTGCTAAAGGCTGGACTAGAACTCACAATCTCCTGGTTTCTAGGCCAGCACCTGAACCCCTGCAGCAAACTGGCTCCCTAAACAGAGGAACTGATTCCAATATTCTTTGGAAGAGTCTAATCACCCTCTGAGAGCTGTACACAACGAAGTTTCATTTTAATGTATGCCAGTCTACAAATAAAAATAAAGTTATTGTATTTTACCGTACTGTATTGTATTCTTCTCCTCTCTCCTTTTTATTCCATTCTATTCTATATTTCTATTCTATTCCATTCCATATTTCTATTCTACATTTCTATTCTATTCTATTCCATATTTCTATTCTATTCTTTATTCCTATATTCTACTCCATTCCATATTCTACTCCATTCCATATTTCTATTCTATATTTCTATTCTATTCTATTCTTTATTCCTATATTCTATACCATTCCATATTTCTATTCTATTATATTCCTTATTTCTATTCTATTCAATTCCATATTTCTATTCTATTCTATATTTCTATTCTTTATTCCTATATTCTATTCCATTCCATATTTCTATTCTATTCCATATTTCTATTCTATATTCTATTCTTTATTCCTATATTCTATTCCATTCCATATTTCTATTCTATTCTATTCTTTATTTCTATTCTATTCCATATTTCTATTCTATTCCATTCCATATTTCTATTCTATATTTCTATTCTATTCTTTATTCCTATATTCTATTCCATTCCATATTTCTATTCTATTCTATTCTTTATTTCTATTCTATTCCATATTTCTATTCTATTCCATTCCATATTTCTATTCTATATTTCTATTCTATTCTTTATTCCTATATTCTATTCCATTCCATATTTCTATTTTATTCCTTATTTCTATTCCATTCTATTCTATTCCATTCCATATTTCTATTCTATTCCATTCCATATTTCTATTCTATATTTCTATTCTATTCTTTATTCCTATATTCCATTCCATATTTCTATTCTATTCTTTATTCCTATATTCCATTCCA